ATCATGACCCATTTTCTTAAACTTTTAGCTTCAACGAGAGTCGGAGGTAAACAATATCATAATCATCTACTTAAAATTTTAGATTCCGCGAGAGAGGCCGAGATAAACAATATCATGACCCATCTGCTTAAACTTTTAGATTCAATGAGAGAGACTGAAGTAAACAATAATAAGATTCAACGAGGGACACTGAGGTAAATAATAACATGACCCATCTACTTAAATTTTAAGATTCAACGAGAGAGAGACCGAGGTAAAGAATATCATGATCCATGTTCTTAAACTTTTAGATTCAAGACGAGAGAGAGGTTTTCAATGGTGGGTTTCGAAACTTACAGAAGAGGGTGGCGAATTTCGGAGACCCAAGATCCCCAGTGTCGTTGCCTAACGCCTCTAAACTTCTTTGATGGCGCCATGATTTTGTCCAAGCTTCTGTCTCTTGTCTCTCCCACAAAGAGAGAGAGAAAGAGGGAGGAGAGAGGGGCGGAGAGAGAGAGAATTGATTGAAGCGATGGCAAAGAAAGATGAACATTATATAGGGAAGTAGCGAGGAAGGTCAAAAATTCTAACTAACATACTGATTGAACCACCGATCACTCTCATTCAGATGTAGTCCCAGTTTATTCGTGTACCTATTTACTCGGGTGTCACAGAAAAATTATTCTCATAGACCAATATGGTTTCTGTTAGTATGTTTTGTCTTCAGTTACATGCTTAACATATGATTCGAGTAATTTGGAAGTTCTTATGATTGAGTCATCGTAAAAAACGTACAGTACATGAATGAACCGATACCATATTCAAACTAGACGGATGACAAAGATACGACGGTTAAGAATTTATAAAAAAAATTGTAGATCGAGAGTGTCGGTGAATTAAAAAGTTGAATAAATACTACACTCATCTTTTTCTCTCGCATAATCATTATTGTCACCTAATACTCTAATTTTCTTAATTACAATATAGTGTGTCCTATATATCTACCTCAAATAAATGAGTTCTTGCCCAAGTTCTTCGCTTCTCTTTTAGCCCTTTTGACTTGTGTTCTTCATTATTCTCCCTCTATAGAACGAGGTTGGTTCGCTCATAATTGGACTCGAACAAAAAAAAAAAAAAAAATTTGATCGACCCTATTTGTTAATTTTTTTAAACGAATAAGTGAGAAGTCTGGGATCCCACATCGGTTGTAGCGGGGAACGAAGCATTCCTTATGAAGGTATGAAAACTTCTCTCTAATGACGCGTTTTAAACCATGAGGTTGATGGTTGCTAAAGTTGGGCTTGGACACGACAACACGTAACGGATCAAAGCGGACAATGTTTGCTAGGGTGAGCAGCTTAGGCTAATAGGAAAAGAAGAAATAGGTCAAAGTGGATAATATCTACTAGCGGTGGACTTGAGCTCAAATGTTACAAGTGCAACGTAAACCACGTCCGAGCCATAATTATATTATTATCCTACTAGACTTTAACTATTCTTTCACAAGAACAATTATTAGAACCCTAACCTCTTCACTATCATAAGGTAGATTTCTTAGTTTGTAATAATTTTAATTTTTAACTTGTTTCCTATGAATTTTGTGACAATATTAAGGCACACATGAATTTAACTTCTTATCGTCGTTCGGGTAACAGTTATACAGAAAGTTAACCTAATCCTAGCTAAAAACAGAGGGAGCAATCCCGTGCCTAAATCAATTAGATACATATGTGGGTCAACCATACATGACTCCGTGCTACTAGAGATAGTTGACGACCATCTAGAACTTCATCATAACATGACAAAGCATACACATAACCATAAACAGGAGGAGAGCAACCTCGTGCCTGAAATGACCAACCATCACTAATTCCTCGCTACTAGATATAGTTGATGAACCTCTAGAGCCCCATCATAGTAACATCATAACATGATATGACACATCTGGAGGGGAATAACCCTGTTCGGGTGATCTCTTCCATTTTTTCATCATATGAGTAGGGACAAAACATGTTATTGAGCCATACAGAGCTTATTCAGGTTCCAAATCCTGATATGAATCCGAGTATAAAACATTACAAAAAATTCAATAAACAACAGTATTTACCAGCTTAATTTAAAAAAAAAAAAAAAATTTATCGACTAATATGAGCGGTATAATTAATACAATAAACTAATATAACTATAACCATATACCATAAAGCGTTAGTTGACAATTTAATTCAACACTTAATAGTATAGTACTAGACTAATATAATTGTATCCAAACTCTACAAAATAATATAACAAACCAATATAATCGGAGCCAATGGTACTTAATTAACCCATGTTTATAATGTTACCATAATCATTACATTTTTTAAATAATTAATATATATATAATATTATATCTACCACACATATATTAATAGATAATCATTATTATTGTAATTAATGCTAAAAATAGTACTTATTCCCACAATTTTTTTTTTTGTAAATATATAATAAGTCATTTAAACAACTCCCCATTTTAGGGTAATATTGAATAAATAAATATTTTTGTTATTTTTATGAATTTATTTAGATCAAATAATATTGGACTTTAAAATATACATTTTTGTTTACGATATAATTATATATATATATATATATATATATAGTTTTATAATTATTTTTTTGATGGACGGTGGTCGGATAACTCTTAAAAATAATATTTTTAACTGGTTATATACATATATATATATATATATATATATATATATATATATATATTATTTATTTATTTAATTTCATAATTATTTTTTGATGGACGGTTGTTTGATAACTCTTAAAAATAATATTTTTAACGGGTTAGATGATAATTTTTTAAATTATATATTAAAATTTAATTACAAATCTTAAATAAATAAAGAGATATTTTTATGAATTTCATTTAAAAATTTTAAATATATATGTATATATGTATATATATATATATATATATATATTTATCGAAACCCTAAACTCTGATTATATATTTTTATGAATTTCATTTTAAAATTTTAAATATATATATATATATATATATATATATATATTTAAAATTTTAAAATGAAATTCATAAAAATATATAATCAGAGTTTAGGGTTTCGATAAATATATATATATATATATATGTATATAACCAGTTAAAAATATTATTTTTAAGAGTTATCCGACCACCGTCCATCAAAAAAATAATTATAAAACTATATATATATATATATATATAGTTTTATAATTATTTTTTTGATGGACGGTGGTCGGATAACTCTTAAAAATAATATTTTTAACTGGTTATATACATATATATATATATATATATTTAAAATTTTAAAATGAAATTCATAAAAATATATAATCAGAGTTTAGGGTTTCGATAAATATATATATATATATATATGTATATAACCAGTTAAAAATATTATTTTTAAGAGTTATCCGACCACCGTCCATCAAAAAAATAATTATAAAACTATATATATATATATATATATAGTTTTATAATTATTTTTTTGATGGACGGTGGTCGGATAACTCTTAAAAATAATATTTTTAACTGGTTATATACATATATATATATATATATATTTATCGAAACCCTAAACTCTGATTATATATTTTTATGAATTTCATTTTAAAATTTTAAATATATATATATATATATATATATATATATATTTTTTTTTTTTATCGAAAATGGAATATTTATGTTTTTTTTTAAAAATTATATTTTTAGCCTTATTTAGTTTATATAGAGTCTATATATATTTTTTAAGACTTTAATTTTGCTTCATTTATAAAGCCTATAATTTAGAGTATCCCTCTCTTATTTAACAACTTCACCATAAAACTCTATTATTGAAAGAAAAGCATTTTTTATGTCAAATAATAATAATAATAATAATAATAATAATAATTCGAGAGACTTTGTGATGAAGCCAATTAGATAGCTTTTTATTGCATTTAATTTTGTTAAATAACATTTATTGCATTTAATTGGTTAATATAATTTAAATAATGATTGCGACATTTTTTAATTAAATAAAATAATCTGATTGGAAGTTCGAATCTCTCGTTTTTTGTGAAAAAAAAATATATTTTTTATATTTTTAATTAAGAAAAATAAAAATTTGATGAACAAAAAATATATATTAAAAAAATACGTCTAATTGATCAAAGAAAGAATGTTGGCTTAATATTAAACATATGATAATTAGTCATTAACTCATGGGTTTTGCAAATTAAATTAGGTTAATTATCGAGTTTAGTTCACGAACGTTGATGTTTGTGTCTATGTAATGTACATATGATTCAAAGTCCAAATTCGACATATGATGGTCTCGAAATTTCTCTGTATCTCTTATCATATGACCCGTTACCTATTTGTTTAGAAATGTGTCTATCCGGACCAACATCAGTCCTTTTAGCATGTTTTGTCATCACTCATGTTTTATGAATGTGTACATCATTGGTATAGATAGTAACTATCAATTTTTTCAGTCTTTAGGATTGTTCTCATTTATACACCCTTCATTTACGGGCTTCACAGTCTATTTGGTTCATTACGTATCGTCGTCAGTCTAGCAGTTTTAAAACGCGTCTACTAGAGTGAAATCTTCACACCCTTATAAGCCCAACCTCACAACCCATCTCTGTTAGGGGCCCAACGTATTCGCTGGCACATACGCCAATGTTTGTAATAGTTCAAGCCCACCACTAATAAATATTATCTACTTTGGATCTATGATACCATTTTAATGGAAAAAATGCGATAAAAATAGAGATTCATATATAATGAATGGTGGTCCAATTAATTAATTGATTTAAAATTTCTATATTGGGTTTTATTTCATTAATAATTTATAAAGAAATTTTATGGAATTAATTAAAAGCCACAACTATTGAAGCCAACTCATTAAAAAAATAAAAAAATAAAAAGTTATTTTTTTTAATACAAAATACATAAATATATTTTTATTAATTTATGGATATCTAATAATTATTACACATCATCATGCCTTCTTCAATTTTGAGCTCCCAAGCCATGGCTATGGCTATGGCAGCTCTGTCAGGGGCTGTCGCCGTCGTGCTTTCCTTCCGCCACCGTAAATCCGCCGCCTCAGTTTCTTCCGGTAAGCAAAAACCACCCATTTTTTGTTTTATAATTTTATTTTCTATTTATTTTTTGGATTTTTTCCCCCTTGAAGTGGTGAAGAAGAAGAAGAAGGGAAGAAAAAGAGTTCACTTTGCTGATGATTCAGCCGTTTGCAGTACTGAAGAGTTGCAGAGAAAAAACGGCTTAATTTTGGGGCCTTCGCCGCCGGTGGGTAGAGCTCCGCCGCCGTCTTTGACGAGCCACGGTGGAGGAGGCAGCGGAATGCCGGCGAATAGGGTGGCGCTGTACAATGGAATCTTAAGGGATCGTTTGGTTCACAGGATGGCATATTCTCTTTAATTATATATTAAATAACTTTTATTTAATTATTTATTTCTTTTTCTTTTCTTTTTCTTTTTGTAAAAAATGCATAAGCAGTGACAATTGCCCCATGAAGACTCACTTTCCCTACGGCTCCAGTGGGTTCCCTTAACCAAGTCACTGCCTATGAGTCGCCAGCTCATTCTTCAACAGTCCTGGTCTTCTCCCACGGCTTGGAAGCTTACAGTTTCATATTCTATTTCACTCTCCGATGGAAGTTCTTTTCACCCTTCCCTCACGGTTCTACTTCACTATTGGTCACCCAAGAGTATTTAGCCTTGCAAGGTGGTCCTTGCTGATTCACACGGGATTCCACGTACCCCATGCTACTCGGGTCAGAGCGTAAGCTAATGATGCTTTCGTTTGGAATTGAAAATTTGAATTTCTACACGTAAGATCTCACATCGGTCGGAGAGGAAAATGAAACATGAACAGGGTTTCAGTTGTTAGTGTTAACTGCTATTAACGGTACAAGATTACTGATTACGAAATACGAACTGGATCTGGTAAAGTTTCAGTGGAAGTCACAATCACACTGATTTCCCATCTAATTCGACCTTGTTTATCCTATTCTATCCAGTATTAGGGTTTTCGATTTCGATTTTCCCCTTTCGATTTCGATTTCGATTTCGGCATGTTTCTGTGTTTTGATGTTTGTAATCTGATTTTTCGCCGAATATGGTGACGCGGGAGAGCTGGTTTTCTGTTTGGATCGATCGATTTCTCTCTTGTTTGAGGTAAGTTCTTTTGCTCTGTATTGATCATCTCATTTCTGTTCTCAAAGCATGTTAGGGTTTTTGTAATTGTTTGATTGGCGAAGAGATTTAGCTTGAAAATTTCGAACCATTTTGATGCGACCTAATTGAAACGTGTACAGACTTGAATACTGTTCTGGATTGTATGGATTACACTTGTTCATTTGGGGGAGTTTTTTCTTATGGATCCATGATGTATTGTTCTTACGATCGCCATTGTTATTTGAGTAGTTTTATTTTGAATAGCTGTTTTACCTGATGAGTTCTTCCTGCAAATACTTTCAGCTTCTTGTGAATCGGTAGGAGCTTGAGCTATCATTATTGATATCATAATTTTGGAGATTTCTTTTGAATCTGAAATTAAGGGATCTTGGAAGTAAAAGAAATACCAGTTGGTTCTTAGAAGTGTTTAGCTCTGGAATAAGGTGGGGAAGATGGTAGCTTCATTTTTCTTCATGAATTGAACCTCAACACAGTGTGCTAAACGTATTTTCAATTAGGTTAATCTGTGCACTTACTAGGAAATTCTTTTTCTGAGGGAACATTGATGGCATAATGTTAGAGTGGACATAAATAAGTGAAAATTTGGGATTGTAGGAAGCAGAATCCATCGTAATCCAAGCAAAAGTATAACCGGAATTTTCTGTCTTGGCAATCTCTTGACCCATTGAAGATGGACTTCAAATGTGAGATGCCCTAAAGGGGGTGGATTGTGAGATCCCACGTCGATTGGAGAAGAGAATGAAGTGTTCTTTATAAAGGTGTGGAAACCTCTCCCTATGCTAGCGGTGAGAATGGGCCATCACAATTGGTATTAAAGCCAGACACCGGGCAGTGTGTCAGCGAGGACGCTGGGCCCTGAGGGGGGTGAATTGTGAGATCCCATATCAGTTGGGGAGGAGAAGGAACATTTTTTATAGGGGTGTGGAAACTTCTCCTTCGCAGACGCATTTTAAAAACCTTGAGAGGAAGCCTGAAAGGAAAGTCCAAAGAGGACAATATCTACTAGCAGTTGGGTTAGGCCGTTACACTAAATCTATCTCTAAGTGAATGGTGGGAGCTCAAAGCTCTTAGATCGCATCATTGAACTCTATTCTTGCTCCCAACTCTTTAGCACTGAGTTGTACTGGATTTTGGAGCGCGAGTTTACAGATGGTCAAAACAGTAGCAAATGGTTAGCATGTTGTGTGCAGATGTTCTTGATTTATGAACTAAATTCACTAAATTAGTTCACCTCTGTGTTATAATTTTTCATGTTTCATTGTCATTGACTGGGTCCATGACAACGAGGGTTCATGTATTATATTGGACAACGATCTGCATACTTCGTTTATTTCAAACTTCATCGAGGTCCCGAAGCTTAACCATATTATTGAATTCATCTCTCTGAAATGTCAGTATCATGATGTTCATGCATGTACATTTATCATTACTTAGACTATTACATGTCTGTTCTGGAGTTATATCCACAGTTTTCAACATGCTTCTAACAGAGGAAGTGTTTATCTTGGTAGGGGCACTAAACTTGCACCTACCATCTCTGGGAATAATCTGAATTCTAGGATGCTGAGTATGTCAGATGATTTTTGGAGTACAAGCACATGCGATCTCGATGAGATGCTTACGCTTCAATCTCGACAGAACTCGTTTATCAGCACGACAAGCTACAACCCAAATCATGGTGGTGCCACTGACTATTTAAGCAATCATTCTGACTTTGTAAATCATGGTAAGCTCATATCTCAATATTCACTGCTTGTTGGAAAGCGAAGGAGATGTTCCTTGCACTTGCTTTCTTCATCTAGCGTTAGTATCTCCAGTTCTGTAGTTGCTCTAGACTGGTTTCAATTGTAAATTCCCAATTGCAGGTTTGATTCTTTGGACACAGACCAGGCTTCGATGGGTCGGAAATCACGAATCTGCTAAACGAACTAAAAGAAAACACCTTACAGGATTAAGGTGAGTCTAATTTCGACGCAGTTACGTATTCGTTCATGCCATCCAAATTGAATTTTTTAAAATTTTTGCCCCAACATGTATTACTTGGTTTGTGTTCGCAGTTGGTATATGACCAAAGAACTCATGCTGGAAAGCAAAAGACCTTACCATCGGCTCATACCTTTATCTGTAAGTCAGCTTTTTGTCTGTAATGTGGTGTTTTCTTTAGTTGACTACATATTCAAATCCTCTGCTTTGAATATGTAACCATGATATAACTGACAGGAAATGGTAGACTTTCTAGTAGAAGAATGGGAAGAAGAAGGGCTGTATTATTGAGCCAGTCGATCGAAAACCATCACCTTGTGCATTCACCATCTTTGTGACTTTTTTCGTGTTTCGGAGTTTAATTCAATGGCTACTGCCTTAACTTGGGATCAGTTGATACGATTTAACATACAAAATGACACCACCTGGTTTGCTATTGGTACATTGGAGACTTCTTGGGGAGAGGCCAAATATGATGTAACCCGAAATCCAAGATCGTCTGAATGATCGACGAGCTAAACGGTAAGCCCCCTCCAACCATCAGCTAATATCTACTTTATACATACATATCAAGCTTTCTTCATGGTTTCATCTACGCATGACAGTTTAATATATGCAGAAGCATCAACTTTAGTGTGTTTGATGCGATGTTGATGATTGACTTGCTGTAATTGATGTAATAGAATAGATATTAACCTCTAAAACAAACACTATCTTCGAATTCTGATAATACTGAGCTTTGTTTTGTGGGGATATTGCTGTCAACCGTGTTGGATGGTAGAGAACAAATAATAGGCAAAGTCGCGCCCCCATTGTCTTTTTGTCTGGTGGTTGTGCCATTAAAAGACTAGAAATTTTGAAGGGTTTATGTTTGAAGATGCTAAGATGCTTTTGAAACTCTTTTTTCAGAAGAGAATACTTTGTAAGATCCTACGTCGATTGGAGAGGGGAACGTAACATTCTTTATAAGGGTGTGGAAACCTCTCCCTAGCAGATGCATTTTAAGAACCTTGAGGAGAAGCTCGAAAGGCAAAGCCCAAAGAGAACAATATTTGTTAGTAGTGGGCTTAGGAATGGTATCAGAGTCAGACATCGAGGGGTGTGCCAGTGAGGACGCTGGGCCCCGAAAGGGGGTAGATTGTGAAATCCCACGTCGATTGGAGAGAGGAACGAGTGCCAGCGAGAATGTTGGGCCCCAAAAGGAGGGGTGGATCGTGAGATTCCACATCGATTGAAGAGGGGAACGAGTGCCAACGAGGACACTAGACAATGTGTCAACGAGGACGCTGGGCTCCCAACGGGGTGGAGTGTTAGATCCCACATCGGTTGGAGAGGGGAACAAAACATTCTTCATAAGGATGTGGAAACTTCTTTCTCGTAGACGCGTTTTAAAAATCTCAAGGGAAAGTCCCAAAGAGAAAGTCCAAAGAGGATAATATTTGCTAGCGGTGGACATCATTTTGTTACTGAGCCATGATAAGAGAAAATGTTCTTGATTTTGATATCAATGGTTGATATATATTCTTTATGCATTGGGATGAATATACACAAAGAATTCTAAAATTCAAATTCAAATTCAAATTAAAGAACCAACTATCAAGATGACGTTGATATGATTTATATTTATGTTTTTCTTGTTCAAAGTTGTTCTCTCTTTACCAAGTTCAGCATTCAACTGAAAGATTATTACATATATTAGTGATTGCTTTGGTTTGGTACTCTTAGAGGTCACATTATAAGAGAGAGATGAGACATGATTTAAACATGGTGTGATCTGAGTTGAGAGCTACTTTGTTCTTCTCTCTTTTAAGTGCCTCTAATTGGCTTCATAAGGGACCCACCCAAAGAGATGAACCCAAATGAAATGAATGGATAACTCTTTATGTTTTAAAGTTTTGTCCAGATTAGATAGATCGTGTTGTTTCTTATCGACTGTACTTTTTTCAAGAATATTAATTCATTTTCTAATGTTTTTGCCGGTTTTTTTAACGTAAGATGCAACATTTTTCATTGGTGTTATGGTTCGTAACGGATAAATTTAGAGACTGTGGCCTAAATGAGCATAATTTAGTGACATTTTACATGTATTCATTCCTTTAAAGGCAAAAGTTCAAATCTCGGACTCCTACGTGTTTATATATATACATGCTTCTTTCTAGAACTTATTTTTAAAACTTACCACTTAAATAGAAGTGGGTATTCATCTTAATTGGATTATATTTGAATTTTTGAATTTTTTTAATTCATGGTCGTTTTTTTCTTTTTCTTTTTCCCTCTTTTCATCTGTCATCAACTGACTCTCCTCTCCCTCGGTCTAAAACGAGGGAGAGGGGAAGCTACCCTTTTGGTGGGTAACTCGATTACGTTCGGTAACAACACGAGACATAAGAATTAATTATATTCCATTTAGCAATATCAAATTTTAATTTAATTTTTTTCTATACTACGAATAAAATAAAATTGTTTTATTAGATTAAGATGAATCAAAGATGATCCTTACCTATAAAAAAAATTGAGCATCCATTTCCCATACAATGAATTCAAAAAACGAGGGGTAATGTTCAACTTGAAGATACACACAAATCCTTATTAAACCCCTAAAATTAAATAATAATAATAATAATAATAAGACTAAATTAATAAAAATACCCTCCAGAACTTTTTAGTTTGCCTAAAAAATACTCAAACTTTCAAAATTTTCGATAATATCCTTAAATTTTTTTGAAAAGTTCAAAAATACCCCTACCTTCGTTTGAGATGAAAACCGTTACTACTTTGGTTTAAAGATACCCTTCAACTTTCAAAATCGTTTCAAAAATACCTTTAACTTCACCGATACTCTTAAAAAAAATTTAAAATTTTTTAAAAGTACCTTTAAACATTTTTTTAACAATTCAAAAATACATTTACCGTTAGTACCGCGTTTAAAAAAATACTATAAACTTTTCAAATTAACATTAAAATATTTCTAGATAATCTATGAGGTGTCAATAGACGGTTTTCATCCCTATATTGACGGTAATAATTTATTTTATTTTATACTTTATAAAAATAAAGAGTGTTACCGCTCATTTTAAAATTTTATGAATATTTTTTTAACATATTACTAATAATAAATATATTTTTTATTTTTTTTAAATTAAAGAAAAGTGAAATTTTTTAAAGTTTAAGATATTTTTGAGATAAAAGTATAAAATTTAAAATTATTCTTTTTTAATTCAATGTAATAAAATAATAATAATATATTATTATTATTAAAATGTGTGATCCCTAACATGCTTTTTGATTTTCTAATATTTAATTATGATTTTAATATTATAATAATTGGAAATGATTTCAGAACCAACCTTGGGATTCATTACAATGAACCTTCCCTCTCTCTCTCCACATGATAATTTTATTTTTATTATTTTTTTTTGCAAGATTTAATTATTTAATTAATCTTAATTTTTTAAAATTTATTTACCGGTAAATTAAAATTTAAACCAGATCATATCAGATAAACAGATCACGTCTACACATACGTATATTTTTGTCGCTTAAATTAAATTAATAATTTTATCATATTGACATGCCTTTTTCTTCGATCGAGCTTCCCATATATGTCACATACCTAAAAATCATATTCATTCTATATCTTTGCTTTTATCTTGTCATGAAAACATATGATATAGTGTATTTAGACATATAGATATATATACACACAAATACATGCATCGAGACTTTTTTTTTATCTTTTAAGGACACAGACGATATATGAATGAATCGAGACCACTTATGAATATAAATAGTTTAAAAACACGTTGGTTAAAAAAATTCAAAAAATAATCGAAGAGCCACTGTCTCAACGCACCGCGATTGAGCAGCATTTACTCTCATCCTTGAGTAAGTCAACTAACTAGAATTTGGGTCACTGTTGGCACAGACGACGTATGCTTCAGTCTTCAGCCTTGTTCCACGGAAAATATCTAATAAGGTGTATTTTTTCGATGACTCTCATGTCACGAGAGATACGTGAGAATGTCGAGGTCATCCGGTGTCGAATCTAAATTTTAAAGACGTGGAACGTTTTAAATATCTTTGAAAGGGTCGAGAAATATACAAATAATTAATATTTTGTTTTGTTTTTGTTTTACATTTATCATCAACTAGGTTTCCTTGAGATTTTCAAAAGGCAAGAAAGAACATAGCTTGATTAAGAGTATGTTTGGTTGTCAGTCAAGAATGGTCTTCCATAATAATAATAATGATATTTTATTGAAATATTTTATTTATTTAATTTTATCCATACGACCTCTAAAAATACATATCGTAGTAACAATCCGAGGCTATCGTTAGCAGATATTGTCCGTTTTAGTTCATTACGTATCGTCGTCAACCTCACGGTTTTAAAATGGGTCTATTAGCGATAGGTTTCCACAGTCTTATAAGGAATGTTTCGTTCCGTTCTTCAACCGATGTGGGATCTTACAATCCATCTCCCTTGGGAGCCCAACGTCTTCACTGGCACACTGCTTGGTGTCTGAGTTTGAAACTAACTATAACAGTTTGAGCCCACCTGGGAAGAAGGCCGTCCCATTTGACCTTTCTCCTTCTGCAAAACCCTAAAAACTAATAGAGCCACGAGGAATGTATATATTTAGTGCAAATTGTGTGGAAAACATTGCTATTACCATTAATTCCTTGGAAAATAAGACATATACTGTCCGCTTTGGCCCGTTACGTATCACCATCAGCCTCACGATTTTAAAATGCGTCTATTAGGGAGAGGTTTCCACACTCTTATAAGAAATGTTTTGTTCTTTTCTCCAACCGAAGTGGAATCTCACAATCATCCCTTTGGAGGCCCAACGTCCTCGTTGGGATGGGATGCCTATTGACTAGCTCTGATAACATTTTTCGATAAATTGACGAAGATGGTTACTCCAACGAAGATGGCATCTCGTCGGAAATTGCTCGATAAATTGAGCTAATCCTACATATTTTTATTAATTTAACTTTTATTCAATAAAAAAAAGAAAGAGTGGGGAAGGTCCGGTAGTCGGTAATGGCAAGTTGGTTGGGGCAGTGGCGCAAAGGGCAAAGAGCAAGAGGGGGTCTGATTGGAATTTGCGGTTTTTTGGAGAGATTCATTGCACATTCACAATCCCACCTCAAATTCATACTCCAAATATGAATTATTTTTCCCTGAAATCGACCTCTACGACCCCCTTTTCTTATTTTATTCATTAATCCATTCTATAATCCAAATATATATACTCTGTTCAATCCATTTCTTCTTCCCATAATCACAAATTTCCCTTGTTCTTCCCTTTTTCCCCCTTTTCCTATTGGGGTTTTCTCCAAATGCTCTTCTTCTTCCTCCCATTTCTCATTTCTTCTTTGATTTCTGAGTTTGATTTCTGCTTTCCGACACCATTTTCGCTTCCGTTCTTGTGGATTGTTGCTCTGTTTCTGTCGCTATGCCTGCCCTCGTCAATTACGGTGGTGAGTTTTTCGATCTTTTCTGTTTTGTTCTTGTTTGATCTGGGTAGGATTTGAATCGGTTCGGCTTGATCCGTTTGGAGTTTTTTTTTGTTCATGAATCTGTTTCTGAAGTGATCTGGGTTTGTTTCAATATGCTTGATCTTGTAGATATCTTAAGCTAGTTTGTTCTTTAGTGACAGTAATTTGTAGATACCTAGTTTGTTCATCATGTCAAATGTGTCTGAACTTGTTGATTAGCTTTGTAAATGGATCTGTTTAGAGATGTGTGCAATTTTGATGAGGTAGTTTGGCTGACTAGTGTTGTTATTGGGAGTTCAGGTGATGATGAATGTTACCCTGGGGGTTCCTTTTACTCGAGCCCCATGGATTTGGATGGCTTGCTACCAACTAGCTCTCATGTTGATCTGTATTTTCGTCCTAGTAAGAGAGCTCGGATCGGTGCCTCGGTTGTGTTTCGAGGACGAGAATTTGAGCAGGAGTGTAAACAATCCATTGATGTTCTTCCTGATGAATGTCTCTTTGAGATCTTTAGGCATTTAGACAGTGCTAGAGAGAGGAGCTCTTGCGCAGGCGTTTCGAAACGATGGCTTATGCTTTTGAGTACTATTCATAAGGATGAAATCTGCAAGAGTAGAAGCACGTCGAACGTTCGGATGGTTGAGGAGTCGAAGCCTGAATCTGATCGAGAAGATGAAAGTAACGGTTTTCTTACGAGATGTTTGGAAGGAAAGAAAGCTACTGATGTAAGACTTGCTGCCATTGCAGTAGGAACTAGTGGATGTGGTGGTTTGGGTAAGCTTTCTATTCGAGGAAGTAACTCTACGCGTGGAGTTACCGACCTCGGTCTTTCAGCAATTGCCAATGGTTGCCCTTCTCTTCGGATGCTTTCTCTGTGGAACGTATCGTTGGTTGGGGATGAAGGATTGTTCAAAATCGCTAGAGAATGTCGCTTGCTAGAGAAACTTGACCTCTGCCACTGCCCTTCGATCTCGGACAAAGGTTTGATCGCCATTGCTGAGCGATGCACGAACTTGACCTCTTTAAGCATTGAATCATGTCCGAAGATCGGAAATGAAGGTTTGCAAGCAATTGGAAAATTATGTTCGAAACTTCAGACCATCTCTATCAGAGATTGTCCTCGTGTCGGGGATCAAGGTGTTTCGAGTCTATTCGCGTCATCTTCTTGTGCCATAACGAAGGTGAAGATCCAAGCATTGAACATAACGGATTTCTCTCTCGCCGTGATCGGACATTATGGCCAGGCCATAACACACCTAACCCTCAGTGGTCTTCAGAATGTTAGTGAGAAGGGCTTTTGGGTCATGGGCAGTGCACGGGGCTTGAAGAAACTGACGTTGTTGACGATTGCTTCTTGCCGAGGGATGACCGATGTGAGTCTCGAAGCGATTGGAAAGGGAATTGCAAACCTGAAGCAGATGTGCATTCAGAAGTGTTGTTTTGTTTCTGACAATGGATTGACAGCTTTTGCTAGAGCTGCGGGATCGCTCGAGACGTTGCAATTAGAAGAGTGCAACCGAATCACCCTATTAGGCGTCGGTGGTGCCCTCTCGAACCATATTCGGAACTTGAAGTCTCTTACTCTGGTGAAGTGCATGGGGATCAAGGATATAGCTCAAGAAGTAACATTGCCCTCTCCTTGCACCTCCCTCAGGTCCTTATCTATCCAAAACTGCCCTGGCTTTGGCAGTGCCAGTCTTTCAATGGTTGGGAAGCTATGTCCTCAACTTCAGCATGTTGAACTGATTGGTCTTTACGGTATCACGGACGCCTCAATGCTTCCACTTCTCGAGACGTGCGAAGAGCTATTGAAGGTGAACCTTAGCGGCTGCATAAACTTGACCGACGAAACAATATCGACCTTGGTTAGACTGCACGGAGGAACGCTCGAAGTTCTGAATCTCGACAGTTGCAGAAAGATCACTGATGCTAGTTTGGTAGCTATTGCAGATGCGTGCTTGTTACTAAATGAACTAGACGTTTCGAAGTGTGCAATCACCGATGCAGGACTCGCAGTTCTTTCATCTTCAGAACAGATAAATTTGCAAGTTCTTTCCTTGTCGGGTTGTTCCGAAGTATCAAACAAGAGCTTTCCTTTCCTGGAAAGATTGGGGAAGTCACTTCTCGGTTTGAATCTCAAAAACTGTCACTCAATCGGCAGTGGCATGGTCGGGATGATCGTCGAGAACTTGTGGAGATGCGACATCCTCGTCTAACCGTGGATAGTTACAGCGACATGGTCTTTTTCACACAGATAGCAGCATTCAACAGAGGGCGTCCCGACAGCGTATTCTTTTCGTGGCTCGGTTGTTTTAGGGAACTATGGCCAATTACCTTAATTTTTGCAAGCTTTCAGCTTGTTTGTCTGTTTTTTGGTCTCCATTGATGGGAGGCCTCCTCTTTGATGGCCATGGCTTCCTAAGAACACACAGTTACCGAGTGACAGTTAAGAATTGCCTGTCTTTGTACGCGCACTGATGTAGCTACTGGTTTTGTCGAGATGAATGTTCTATAACTAGCTGTTTTAGCTTACAGATACGTTACTTTAATGCATCTGGTACAAGCTTGTTCGGTCCCTTTCGTATTCGATTGCATACGCTCTGTTGCTTCGAGTCGTTGCAAGTGTGAATGTCTGTTGACCGTGAGCTTTGACATCTTTAATTCGACAAATTTACCACTCGGGTGATTTTCGTTTAATGTCGGAGATGTAGGTTGCAATTCATCTGCATGAAGTTGGAATTGCTAGTAATCGTCGGTCAATCATGCGGCAGTGAATTCATTCTCGGGCCTTGTACACACTCCCATCACACTATGGGAGTTGGCCATGCTCGAAGTCCTTCCCCTAACCACAAGGAGGGGAATGTTGAAGGTAGGAGTTGGAGTGAAGTCGTGACAAGGTAGATTGAGTATCGAGGATTACCAATATGACGCGAGTATGCTAACTCAGACTACCCAACTCAAATCATACTCTGACCATACTCGGAATAAATATGATGTTTTTAAAATAATTAAAAAAACAATCCAACAACCCAATTCCAGTTGCTCGGGTCACCAACCCACCTAACCAAAAATTTCAAATGGGTCCCAAGTCACCAACCCAACTAACCCAAAATTTCAAATGGGTCCCGAGTCACCAACCCAACTAACCCAAAATTTCAAATGGGTCTCGAGTCACTAACCCAACTAACTCAAAATTTCAGATGGGTCCAAAAGATTTTCTCGACCTAACCCAACTCACCCGAAAATTTGTTTAAAGTCTTGTTGTGGTCTATATTTGAATGCAATCAAACATAATATCCTCCATAGAATAAGAAATCAGAAGGGTTTTTGGCTTTGCCTTCCTCACATTCATGAATGCTTTGACTCTTCCCACTTGGAAAATGTGGGTTGTGTAATTATTTATTTATTTGGTACAACAAATGCGAGATACGAGAGGTTCAAACGTCCAACCTCGAAGGAATGAATACATGTTAGTTATCGTTGAATGGTCAAAACCCACGGGTAGCAAATATTGTTCTCATTAGCTTTGCTTTCAAGGAACTTTCCTCAAGGTTTTAAAACGCGTGTACTAGAGAGAAATTTTTACGTCTTTGTAGGAATGTTTCGTGAATGTTGTGTTTCCCTTTTCATCCGATGTGGGATCTCACACTTCAGTTTCTCGTTTTTGATTTTGCAACTGCAATGAATTATAAGAATCCCAATACGACAGAATACATATTTAGTTTGTGAGTTTATCGTGAAAGTCAACATGTAGTGTATAAACCTAACCGAGTCAAACATCTTTTTCATTTCGTAAAATATATACTATTTCTATAAAAATATAATTTTTAAATAATTAATTTAGTTTATAAATTTTGGTGTATTTTTTAAAAATGTAAAAAAAAAAAAAAAGGAAATATTTAACCAACCAATTTTATTCTTAAAATTTAAGTTTTTCTTTTAATTTTTTAATTAAAGTAGCTTAAAAAAAATCTAACGGAGTGGGTACCACCGTTGGCCGACGTTAGAGTGAGATTCACGCGTTCACATCCAACGTGGCAAACCGCGTTAAACCACCGCGTTTCATTTCTCTCGACGACGGCCGTCCAAAAATTTCCTCCATTTTAGAAATTAACGGTCTAGATTCGTCTAAACTGGCGGAACCATGGTAAGAACTCCGCGACCTACCGCGCTGAATTTTAACCGTCAACTGCTTCCCGCGTTTATTGGGCAAAGACCAACTGAAAATCTAGGCTTCCATAAATTTACCTTTTTTTTTTTTTTTTTTTTTTTTTTTTTTTTTTTTTTTTTTTTTTTTTTTTTTTTTTTTTTTTTTNTTTTTTTTTTTTTTTTTTTTTTTTTTTTTTTTTTTTTTTTTTTTATGATTAAATCGTTCTAAATCCCTAATTTTTCAAAAAATAAAATAAATAAATCAAACACTAGCTACAAATGGGACCGAGTGTCTCGAGCTCAAGTACGAACTCAAATCGTAGCTAAAAATTACTCGAGAATCTTTTAAAAGTTATAATATTCAATCAGATCTTTCGTAAATATTTAAAAACTATCTCTTAAGTAAAAAAGTCGTTAAAATATATTACAAAAATTGGGAACATCATGACAAATGACCTAAAATAAAAACGAGAGATGAACATTGTCACCCCATTACAGTGACATTTGGAACATTGTGGCCTGGAATAAACCCGAGACATGAATATCCTTGCAACTTCTGAAGTCATTGTTTAAACAGTGAGTTTTTTTTTTTTTTTTTTTATAATTTTAGAATATAAATAAATTCAAGTTTTCATAATTTAAACTAAATTCTAAAATGTGTGTCCCTCATGAAATAAATAATATTTTCAATTTTTTTTTTCTAAAAGAAACATAATAAAATTGAAAATTCTTAAAATAAATAAATAAATACATTTTCTCTCTCTTCAGCCTCCTATGATTTAAAAACCTTTTCACACAGTTCTCTCCCGATCAGTTGCAGAGAGAAAGAAGAGAGAAAGAGGGTTTTGTGGAATCCTAAAACCCTTCTCTTCTTCTTCGTTCCCTCACAAGCTTCGATCGTTAATCATGCTTCTCAGAAGTGCGTCGACCTCAATTCTCAATCCATGGAAACCCCATTTGAAAGAAGCTTCCATGGAGGCCGAAATCGTCCACCAAATTCCTAAATCACGGTCCCTCACACTCTGTGCTTCTTCGAAATTGTTGCCGCCGCCGCCGATGATTGGCGGTCCGGCGATCAACATGATGCGGACCCTCTCTGTGCCCGATCTGAGTAACCTCTCGGCGGTGGCGAAGAGGAGTCCGTTTTTGGATGGGGGATTGTGCTGTGGTGTTGCCGAAGTCGGGGAGAGTTCCGATTGCGGTGGCGATGGTGGTGGTTCGGATGGTGGCGATGATGGCTGCTTTGGTTCTTGGGATGCGGATCGTGAGAACGATTGGGCGGATTTGTATTATCAGAAAATGATAGAAGCGAATCCAGAGAATTCGTTGTTACTAAGCAATTATGCTCGATTCTTGATGGAGGTACATGATTTTAACATTGAAATTCCATCTTCTTTAATTTCTTGAAATTCTTTACAGTACATTTGGTTCTGTTTATTGCGTTTTGTTTGGTTCCTGAAGGAAATGATCCTTTGTTCTTCTCTGTTAAGTACGGAAATGAAAATCTCGCAAAATCTTGTTCTGATCCTTTACCATTGCCTGAACTGATGCTATTTTGAAGATCTTTAATCTGCTTTTGTTTCTTACAACTGTTGGCTTAGAATAGACCTGATGTGAAACACTGGAAGATGAACAGAGTGGATTTTAGGAATCAATTTGTGTTTAGAAAAATACCCAATAAAGCTGATAATATCTTGTTAGCATCTTTTAAAAGTTGTCCTCCCTTCGATTATGGCTCAAAGGGAAGCGTTTTTCATTGCAAAACTATGTTCTTGTTCTTGGTAAAAAAAAAAAAAAAAAACTAAGTATTAGATTTAGTCCTCGAGCTTATAGTTTACATCAAATTAAGTGTTTAAACTTCACTTTGTCCTTGGATGTCACGGTCATGCTCGTCTAGGGTGTGTTGCTCATGACTGCATGCTCATGCCACGCTGAACCCTTTATATTATTCCACTTGTATTGATTTACGAAATCATGCCTACGCCTGCTAAACCTGAATTGCCCCAAAATGTACTATAGGGGGGAGTGACTAGTTGTCAACTCCCCTCCTTAATTTTGATTGACCGTTTGGTGAAATCACACTTAGGTCTGTCGGACTTGAATCGCCTCAAAATGTACTATAGGGAGATGCGACTAGTTGTCAAATTCTCCCTATCCAGAAAAGAAAAGTTATATGTTAATGCTTCTTAACAATTCTCATTAACACTTCTTCTAAGTCCATTTGGACCAGGATTGTCCACATTTTAGCTTTCCATAATAAAACTAGCACCGGGATCCAAAAGTGGTACTGTGCTTTTCACAATTACCATACCCATGAGATCTCAACAAACGAACTAATGAACAGAATGACTTATGTGGACAATGAGTTATTTCTACTATGTTCAACTTAGTTTGTAACAATTTGGTCCTTGAACTATAGTTTACAGTTCGACCTTTGAACTTTAGTCAGTAACAATTTGATCTCCAATCAATTTATTGATCGATACTGTTCTGTATTAAAGTTGAGAAAGTAAATTGGACTAAATCTTTACCAACTAAAGTTTAGGACTGAATTGTTACTCGGAAGAATGAATAAATCAAAGAAGTGTTCTTCAACCATTGTTTTCTTTTTATACAGAAGTTGTTACATGAATGTGGAATGCCTTTGGTAAAAGCTTGTGGTTAATCCTAGCAATTTGTCGATTTTCGTTGCTAAACAGGTTCGTGGAGACCTGCTGAAAGCTGAAGAGTATTGTGGAAGATCAATCTCTGCAAATCCTAATGATGGAAATGTGATATCGATTTATGCTGATTTGATATGGAAGAATCACAAGGATGCCTCCCGTGCTGAGAGCTACCATCTTCAAGCTGCTAAAACTTCCCCTGATGATAGGTAAGAAACAACAAGATACAATCATAAATCAAAGCTATATTGAAATTTTGTGGGAACTTCTGCAAAATTTGTGGGAATCTGAAATTTTGATCTGCAATGAAGTTCTCTCTGCAAATTTGTTGCTATGTGGGACATTTTAATGGATTTGTGGGGTTAATGTTGTTTTTATTTGTTCAACTGGTGCAGTTTTGTTTTAGCCTCATATGCGCGGTTCCTGTGGGATGCTGGAGAAGAAGTCAAGGACGACGACGACGACGAAGAAGAAGATGGATTCGATAGCTTTGGCGAGCCATATTCTTCACGTCCTTTTGATTTTGGAGTTCAGCCTCTCAACTCACTCCTCTAACTGGTGCTTCATAGTCTCTCTCTCAGGTACATTCACAGTTGCAGATGTTGTTAGGTAGTATTCTTCAACCATGAAAGCATAATAAGTTTGCTTACAGAAAGCTGTGGCGAACACTAGGGATTTTCTTTTTCCCTCGCCTCTTTGATCCTCAGTTTGTGTTTTGTATAGAACAATGAAACAAATTGCTGATTGAAGGAAAATCCCAATTTGCAAAGAATCTTCATCTCTCCCCTCCCTGAATTCAAACATGAAAAATGTTCTATATGGGTCCATATGGATCATATGAAATTGAAGAACCTTGTGAAAAGGTTCATTCCTAAAAGAAATAGGTATACTTCTAAATGTTTATTGGAAAACGGTTTTGGTATCGGCCTCGGTATTGGGATGCACACTATTTGCCACTCTAAACATAAGTTAATAGATAAGACATTGATTTCAAACATAGGTCACTCTCATTAGAGTCCGAGAGTTGAACATAGGTATGTGGAAGACATCCATAAGCAATCTTTAGCATTGCCACTCTAAACATAAGTTAATAGATAAGACATTGATTTCAAACATAGGTCACTCTCATTAGAGTCGAGAGTTGAACATAGGTATGTGGAAGACATCCATAAACAATCTTTAGCATTGAGGGTCGAGAAGAAAATTATTGTTCACAAGACATCAATTTTAAACATAAGTTTGTGGATAAGACATTTTTTAACATCCTCGGAGTCTAGGATTGAGAAGTAAAGTGTTGTTAGTGTTCATAAGAGATCAATTCTAAACATAAGTTTGTGGATAAGACATTTGGAAAAACTTGAAGATTCCACCTTTGGAAAGATAAACGTTCATTCTAATTCTATTTTGACAGATTGATTCCCCTTTACGGAGAGTCTTTCTTCAATGAGAATCCATAAAGTTTTTGGGCAAGACAAGTTACCATCCTCGGAGTCCAGGGTTGAGAAGTAGAGTATTGTTGACAAGACATCCATTTTGAACATAAGTTTGTGGATTAGACATTGATTACCATCTCTAGGGTCTAAGGCCGAGAAGAAAAGTATTCATTACCATCTTCGGAGTCCAGGATCAAGAAGAAAAGTATTACAGTATTTTATGAACACGACATGAAATACTATCTTTTATTTTGATTCGAGAGAGGAGGAATGATGTAAATTAGATGAGGTAGACTCAAACATGTTGGGCTTAGCTCCAAAATAATGGGCTCAAGTTTAGACCAAACGTTGTAACATGGTCAAAGTCCACTCTTTCCTAAAAATATTTATTAAAAATGTATATTTTATAAGAGTTCTTTTAGATTAATCAATAAATATTTCTGATAAGCGCCTACAATGCTGGAATTTGCAAAGCTAGAGGTCCTTCTAGAATCCTTGCAAAACGCTCACAGAGAAAGCTAACTGAACGGATTGATTTCAACCAAGAGCGGGTTAGAAGATGAATGACTCTTAGATCGAACTTGGAATCTATGATGGTCACTCCAGAATTAGCTTGATCAAAACTAATTCAATGAATCAGTTTAAACATCAAACCTAAAGCAAGATTTGAAAAAGAATAACACCAGAAGGGTATCAAGAAAACACAAAGGTTTTTTCTGTATTCAACCAAAATCCCTCAAACATGAGTATTACATGCCTTTAAATAGGCCCAAAAGAGCCTTTAAATAGGCCCAAAAGATAACCCTACCAAAATAAAGTTCAGCCACCAACCACTAATAAATGCTATTAAATGCAAATTAAAGAATAGAAGGCAATTCATACAAACTATTAATAAATGCTATTAAATATAAATTGAAGCAAAGAAGACATTAATAAATTGTCTTCATTGGTAGTTCAACTACTAAAGGCAAGTCTTCTAATTATTTTCCAATATCAGCCACTCCATTATCTTCTTGATTTGATATGCTAATGCTATAAAGATTTTTGGGCTCAAAAGTCTTTGTTTCAACCTGTACACTAGCTAGCTTTTGAAGATGCAATGTATAGGCCTCTTGAATCTTCTTAACCTTGCTTCTTGTAATCGGTCCTTCGGGTACATGCAAAGGGTCAGCAGTTGAATTCACATCAATTTCATTTTTTAAAAAACAAGTTGTTGCAAATAAGTCCACTTGGCGAGCGGACTCTATATTGTTGGATGTACGAGAGAGAATTTAAAAATCTGTTGACGAAAAAATTATTTGAGTTGAATAGTGTAGTTGGTAGATTATATACCATTAAATGTATGAGAGCATATTTAAGAACTTTTACCGATTCTATCTCAACGTCATTTTATAGCAAAAAATAAAAAATAAAAAAAAAACTAATTGGAACCTTAACTGAATGATTAGTAAAGATGGTTTCAAAAGTAAGGGTGTATATGGGCGAAAGTAAAGATGTATATGGGTCGAGTTGGAAAAATCTTTTGGACCAACTCAAAATTTTGGGTCGGTTGGGTTGGTGATTAGAACAACTCAAATAAAGTTTACGATTTAACTTAACTCTGAATTTTTTAAAATTATTTTAAAAAAATTGTACTTATCCACGATACATATTATACTAATAGTTACAATCTCATAAAATTTAAATATCAAACATTTAAAAGTCATAATACATCATTAATATTTAACTTTTGAATTGGTGGCTTAACTCGACCAAAAAAATTACAATCCACCAAGCGAACCAGATTTTCGATTTTCCAAAAATTCAACCCGTTCCAAACTGAAAAAGTAAAAAATCTAACCCTGGGTTGGATAGTTCAAATTAATCAGATTATCAGATCATATGAATACCAATTTTGAAGTACGATACAACATGCATTATGACGATCTCGACCCAAATCGCAAATCGCAAATAGAGGCCAACTAGATACGATAGGGACTAGAGGGAGAAAAATAAAAGAATATATGAAAATCATTGACCAAATATTTTTTTAAAAAAAAATTGGAAGAGATGAAGAAGAACATGATGCTATAGGGAAGAGATATTTTGCATAAAGAACTTATCCCTTTGTGCTTCAATCCCTTATTTTCTTTGCATTATTGTCTATCATTCTTCTTCAAACCCACATTCTTCACCTCTTGTGGACCAAAACTAGCCATCGCTTCCATTACATATGCTTTTACGACACATATTTGTTATGTTTTTTGAACTGTAAATTTACGATCGAACTTAAACCTAATTCAACTAATTAAGATATATATTTTCGACTAGCAGATCAAAGTTGAAATCTCTCACTCCTATGTCTTGTTGATAACTGAAAATTACCCTACAAGATTCGAGTCGAGGCGCTAGCCCTAGAAGATGGGGTATCAAGCGTTGTTTTAGTTCAACAACGATAGTGTTATGTGATATGAGGCTACACTTTTGATCGTAATGTTGAAAACTCATGGTCTAGTTAAACAAAAATTTAACTATAGACTTGTTAGTGTTCGTTTTTAGATTAATGTTGTTATTTAACACCGTAGTTTATACTTTTCTTTTCGATCATCATACTGTAAATTTGATTTCTACACGATGATTTTTAAACTATAGTTTCCAAAAATGATCATCTTAGGTCTAAATTATGTTGTAATGTATACTAAATTTGTAGGAGTGCAACAATAGTTTAGAATGATGAATATCTATAATGACCTGCACGAATGATGTAATGATTGTCACGCTATCTTCGACATGGACCCAGTAAAATTGAATACACTTGTGTAGGTCAGGCTCAAGAATTGAGGTGTCAACGGGGTTTAGAATCGTCACTATAACGACCTATGCCTAAGATTCGAAATCTGGATTCGACACATGTTGGCACCGACATTCCCCGACATTCCCCGACATCCTCACAATATGGTCATGTTACCTACTCTTTACTTCTTAAGAGTGAAGACTATCCCCACAGGCCAACACGAGTCCTTTCAGCATGTTTTTTTCTCACTCACATGAATCTCAAGAAAATTCCTAAGGGGTCACTCGACACAAAATTGCTCAAAGTTAAACATGTTTAACCATGAAGTTCCTATGATTGAGCCACCGAAAAGGACGGTGCGCTCTGTTGGTATAGGTAGAATTTCAAGATATTGTCCATCTGCTAGGGGAAGGTTTCCACACCCTTATAACGGGTGTTCTGTTCTCCTCACCAACTAATGTGGGACATCACAATCCACCCCCCTTCGGGGCCCAGCATTCTCGCTGACACTCTTTCTTTCCTCCAATCGATGTGGGATCGTCACCAAATCCACCCCCCCTTCGGGGCCCAGCATCCTTACTGGCACACAGCCTCGTGTCTACCCCCCTTCGAGGAACAGCAAGAAGGCTGACACATCGTCCGGTGTCTACCTCTGATACCATTTGTAACAGCCTAGATCCATCGCTAGCAGATATTGTCCTCTTTGGATTTTCTCTTTCGAGCTTCCCTCAAGGCTTTAAGATGCATCTACTAGAGTAAGGTTTCCACACGCTGGTGTTTTGTTCTCCTCCCCAACCAATGTGGGACATCACATATTCTAAGGATCCCTCCTATTCAGACGTGGTCTCGATTCATTTATGTACCTCTCGGCATATTTATTCACCAAATTTTTAATTATTATTTGTCTATATTATTGCAAGAGGAATAAATAATATATTTAGTTTATATTTTTTAGCAATAAATTTGGTAATAAATATGAAAAAAAAAGTCACATCGAGATGACATCATTAAAGTTGACTTTATGAAATTTAAAAAACAATATTTAATTCAACAGAAAATGACGTCTAAAGTCTAAACAATATATATCTAAATATAATTTTATTTACAAAATTTTAGATATTTTGGACATTGGAATTTATTCCCAAAAATACACAATTATTTCTTCCTAATGGGGAAGAACAATATAACCTAATTTCCACTTTTAACCCCCTAAATGTTTATTATTATTATTTTATCTCTCATATAATAAAAATTAAATTAATAAAAATATTCTCGAACTTTGCAGGTTAAAAAAAACCCTTAAACTTTCTATAAAAAAAATTCCAAAAAATACATTTGTGTTTAGTTTCGGATAAAATATTAAAAAAATACCTCAATTTTTTCAAAAATTCCATTAATATCCTTAATTTATGTTTTAAAAACTTCAAAAACACTTTTAAACTTTTTTAAAAAAAATTTAAAAAATATCTTCACCATTAATGTCACGTTTAAAAAATATTAAAAAAAATACTCACCATCTTTTCGCATTAACATTAAAACGTTTGTAGATAATATATAAAGTGTTGATAGACGTTCTTTGTTCACCTATTAACAGTAAAAAAAATTAAAACTTTTTTTCTACCAAAGTCTTTAAATATTAATGAAAATTTTAAAATTTTAAGTATATTTTTTAAACAATGAAAAATTTAAAGGTAATTTAAAACAAAACATTAACCATTTTCATTTAAAACTAATCCTAATAATATTTTTTTTAGATTTTTTTAAATTTTACCGTTTTTTTTTTTTTACATTTAATTTAAAAGAAAAGTATTAAGAGAGAGAAGTATGTGGGGGAAGAGAGAGAGAGAGGAGAAATGAATGCCAAACAGACTTGAATTTGACGTTTCAGATTCTAAGTGTCAGAATATGTTTTCTGACATATAAGTCTGCACAATTTACCAATATATATATATATATACCTTTTTATATTATCCTTTTTACACTTTACCGAAAAAAAAAAATTACAGCAACGGTTGCACGATACATCTTTTCCTACTCGCCTTTAACCCAACTATCAATCTAACTATTCTCGGTTGTTGCTTTAAGGGGTCTCCCTACTTTCTGTGGGTATATATATATATATATATATATATATAAAAGTAAGATAAAAATTTGTTGCATATGTATTTGAGAACTGTATGTCGATATTAAAGTTACAAGAAAGTGTGTCAATTTAGAACAATACACGAGCGAGAATAAATAACAAAAGTTAAAAACTTTGTGATATAATATATTAAATACAAATACAATTTTATTGCACGTCTTAAAGAATAGGAATGAAATATATCTATGCTGAGAATTTGTGATATTTTTGTAACAGCTCAAGTCCACCTCTACCGGATATTGTTTGTTTTGCCTCGTTACGTATCATTGTTAGCCTCACGATTTTAAAATACGTCAATTTGGGAGAGGTTTTCACACCCTTGTAAAGAATGCTTTATTTCCCTCTCCATCTGACAATCCACCCACCTTGGGGGCCAGCGCCTTCGCTAGCATACCACCTAGTGTCTGACTTCGATACCATTTGTAACAACTCAAGTCTACTGCTAGCAGATATTGTTCGCTTTGACCTGTTACAAAATGATTCGACAACCTGATTAACTCAGACTATTCAATTCAAATCGTAAAAGTTATGTTAAGTTAGACAATATCTACTAGTGGTGGACTTGAGCTGTTACAATTGGTATCAAAGCCAAATACCGGGCGATGGGCCAGCAAGGACACTCCCCCAAAGGAGTTGGATTGTGAGATCTCACGTCAATTCGAAAGGGAAACGAAACATTCCTTACAAGGGTGTGGAAACATCTACCTAATACACCATTTTAAAATTATGAGACTAACAGTAATACGTAACGTGCTAAAGCGGATAATATCTAGACAATATCGACTAGTAGAACCAACCTAAAATTTCAAATTGGTTCAAAAGATTGACAGATTTTTTTCGATTCATGATTCTTCGCCTTTAATAATGGTGTTTCGAGTGAAAGTGATTCTTTGAGAAGTGAAAATGGAATTCCAGGTGCCCTAAAATGAAGATTGTGGTCCAATTGTGAAGAACTCCTTTTGCTTTCACATAGCTCATAGTTTATTATGAGTTTGGTTGGACACAAAAACACAATCTTTTTTCAAGGATTTTGGCTTTTGAAACCAAAAAAAGATAACACTTTTTTTCTCCCCTTTTCCCAATCAACGTGGATCTAGGATTTCTTCTTATTCAAATTCCCATTCGTTCGTCTTCTCGATCACTCGACTCATTGAATGATAAGAATTGTTCTTTTCGATAAGAACATGTCACGTTACGAAATGAACTTTCATGTTTGTATGAATTTTGTTTCGTTTTTCTTGTACCTGATCCGAATTTGATCTTTATTGCTAACAAAACAATGAAAATCATGGGTAGAAATGGTATTTACAAACTCGTTTTTTGTGAAACGAGAGGGTACTGAATAGAATCGAGAACGATTTTGATGATCGAGAGCACGAAGATGTTCCATTCTTTAGGTCATGGCGTAATGAATTAATGGATGCTTATAGATCAAAAAACAATTCAAAATGGCTTTCCATCCATTTGTTCCTCTTTGGGGATTCCTTCAATTATTCATTGTTTGGATTCTAAGAAAAAGAAAATGGATTGTGAAGCAAATTTAATGAAGGATATGATGCTGCTCATAAAGTCCCACTTGTTTGCTCATTGAAGATTAAATGTATACAACATTCGATTCTCGAAAAAAATCGGAAAGTATACAATGCTCGAGAATCAGTTCAACTCGAACAACCCGACCCAAATCATAGATTTGTTTCCTCGGTTTAGGTTAGATTGAATATTTTGAAAAATTAAAAATTTGAATTGGTTTGGGCGTTGCAACCAAACCCAACCCTACTTTTAGTGATGCATGCTGACTTATGAATGTTTAAAGCGTTGGGATGAATTGGGTTGTGAGCTCTACTCGAGTTGCTCGAATTACCAATCTAACCAATCCAAAATTTCAGGTTGGTCCAAAAGATTTTTTCAACCTAATCCTTGTATACAGTCCTATTAACGATCGAGATGAAATGTTACCTTCATCTAATTCTAAATTAATTAAATATATTGTTCTTGATAGAATTTCGAGACATTTCATATACGAGTATCCTCAAGCACACCTTATTGCTATTGATTCGATCATTCCTATCCGGGAAGTTAGTAGAAATTAACATTCTTTAGACTAGAAATCTAGAAACTTAGGGTTTGGGTAAATTGTTTCTTAGAAATAGAACTTATCGATAAAAACGAGTTTTTCAAAAATTTACTTGAACTTTAAAAAAGAGATGAAAATAGTTTTTACGAGCTTAATTTACGGAACCGAATCGTATCGTATCGATTTCGATATGAGTATCATATAATGATTCAAAGTCTATATATTTGTGCCTATTTGCTTCCCTTATTGCATGAAAAGCATACAAAGGCAAAAGGAAAACCTGATATGGGAGCAGTGATATTCATGTTTTTTGGCTATGCATCAAAGCTTACCCTTTTCCCCCTTTCTAATTATTAACCTTTATCAATAAGCCCACTTGTCCTTTGCACACAAAAATCAAGTTGCACCAAAATTAGGGTTACGTTTTTTTTATACGGTAACTGCGTAGAGTTTTTCGTAAAATAGTCTCGTAACTTCAAGAACAGGGTTGCCTCCTCACATACAGGATACCGATATGCACGAACTACACTTTCAGTTTTTACATCTGAGCATATTTGGTCTCGGGTAGGTTCGAATCCTACATCGCTTGCTTAACTTAAAAAAAAAAATTAAATACCAAGTGAAGAAATAATGTAACATCCTAAGCCCACCACCAACAAATATTGTTCGCATTAGCCCGTTACGTATCGCAATCAGCCTCACGATTTTTAAAACACGTCTATTAGGGAGAGGTTTCCACACCCTTATAATGAATATTTCGTTCCCCTCTCCAACCGATGTGGGATCTCACAATCTATACCCCTGGGGCCCAACGTCCTTGCTAGTACCCCGCTCGGTGGTTGGCTCTGATACTATTTGTAACAACCCAAACTCATCGCTAGCAGATATTGTCCGTTTTTATTCGTTACGTATCGTTGTCGGCCTCGCGATTTTAAAATGCGTCTATTAGAGAGAGGTTTTCACACCCTTGTAAAAAAATGTTTCGTTCCTCTCTCCAACTGATGTGGGATCTCACAATCCACCCTCTTAGGAGCCTAGCGTCTTCACTGGCACACCGCCCGTCGACCGACTCTGATACCATTTCTAACCGTCCAAACCCACCACTAATAGATACTGTCTGATTTTACTTGTTACGTATCGCCGTCATCCTCACGATTTTAAAATGCATCTACTAGTAAAAGGTTTCCACGGATGCTTGTTTTCCTCTCCAGCTAATATGAGATCTCACAAATAATATATTCGAAACGTGATATTCTATTAATTAACTTACTTCCCAAGAAACTGGGATACATACATATTAAAATCAGACAACATGAAGGAAAGGCAAATTTCAGTTCATAATTCAGACAAACATTTCCCCTAATAACCAATAAAGTAATTGCAAATAAACATAGAAATCAAAGCAAACATATGCATGACTGTTAATTTCATCACTTGAAATTACCCAATTTGTTCTTGTTTTTGGCTTAGATCATGTTCTTCAAACCCATCATTTCCTCAATCAATAGTGCAGCCCTGGCACTGACATCAGATGCTTCTCAGATCCCTATCAAACATTAATAATAATAATTAATAATAAAAAAAAAAACCCGTCAAAATCCTCGTTCATTTCGCGCTCGTCTCATCTAATAACAACAAATAAAACAAGAAATCGTTCGTTTTCTACGATTAAAGAACTAGAAAACTCAAAACGAAATCGTAAAATGTCAGACAATCGATCGAGCGTTTAACTATTTCGTTACGATATCTACTCACATCGTTCTTCGTCTTAGCTTGGAGATTGTTGGTTTCCAGCATGAGGCCAAAATGAATATGTGGGAAATGTGCCCACTGCCATTTCAGAATTAAGCAAGTGAATACCCAAAAGATTGTCATATTTTCTTATGAACAAACAAACAAAAAAAGCCCTAATTTTTATGAACTATGAACATAAGTTATCCAAAAAAAAAAAGTACTTACATTTTTAGCAGCAGTACTGAATGCTTCCCTGTGGGTAATATCTGGATTATTTGCTTTGATCCTCTGGATTTCCTCTCTGAATTTGATGTAATTTTGTCAGATTTTAAAAGAAAAAGATGAACTGAAATGACCCATGAAAAAATAATTTATAAAAAAATCACCAAAATAATAAAGTTTTATTTTTTTATTTTTCATACTTTATGAACTGATTATATGCAGAAGGTACTCTCTGCTTCTTCTCGGGAGCTGAAAAAAGAAAATAACAACTCAGAAACATAAATATAGAAAATTTAATGATTAAATTAAAGAAAAATTTGATCTTTTTTTTTACCTCGATTGATGATCCTTTGATCTTCATTTGTAGGGTTTCTAATTGGAGCTCTCATCTTCATTTTGTTGTTGCATTTTGATGATGAACCCAATTCAGCTCTGTAATGATCAGCTGCAAGCCCACTGTGGGTGTGGTTTGATGCCTAAATTTATGTGTTTTTTTGTTTAAGACAGGGAAAAAAGGCTGCTTAGAGAGATATGAAGCTAAATTGTTGATACCCATTTCATAAAATTTGGTTTGGCTTGATGGGTTTTGTTTATTTTTTTCAGGGAGAAAAAAGAAATGGAAGTTAATTACGTTCTAATTAAGTGATGTTAAGATCTTGTTTGATAACCATTTCGGCTTTCTGTTTTGAGAAATTAAGTTTATAACCATGCATATTTGCACTAAAAAATTGATTTTTGTGTTTTTATCAATATTTTTGAAAAACAAGTCGGTTTTGAAAACTAAGAAAAGTAGTTTGAATTTGACTAAGAACTATATGGAAAAACTTACATCTTCGTATGATAATGGTTCAATTTTTAGTTTTTGAAAATTAAGTTTACAAACCCGGCTTCCCAAGCTAAAAAAATTTAATGTAACTATGAATTCAAGCATTTTTTTTTAATAAAGATGAAAATCATAATCAAAAGATTAAGAGGAAACCATCAGAAACCTGAAAACGAAATCGATAACAACGAGGCTAAAAATTGTGGCGAAATGTTTTCATAAAATTTGTTTTGGCTCATGGGTTTTGTTTTATAAGGAAGAACAAATAAGCTAATTTAGAGAGAGATGAAGATGAAGCTAGTTATGTTCCATAAAGAGGGAGAGACAAAGATTGATTAAGGTGGTCTTTTGAGACATTAATGTTATGTTTTGAAAGAAAAAAACACAATATTTTTAAGGATTTGAAGAGAGAGAGAGAGAGAATTTGAAAATGAGTGGAAAATAATTAGAAAATTGGTGAAAAGAAATTAAAAACCATCTGTTCATGGATCTGTTGTTTCAATAGTAGAAGACAAAAGCTTTGGAAAAGACGTAAGAGAATGAACCAAAAACAAAAAAACCCTAAAACGAACAATAAATAAATCAATCAAATCAACCAAAAATAAATTTTCTAGAACAAAAAAAGTGCCTCAAAGTTTGAAAATTTTCTTTTTTTGATCGAAAATTCCTAGCTTCTCTGATTCCAAATAGGTTATGGCGGCGGCCGTCGCCGCCCCGCC